AAAATTAAAACAAGAAATCATTCTGTCAAAATTATATTATTTGACAAGAATTAGCAGTTTGTAAATTCAAATATTTCATATTACTATGTATTTATTAAAATAATTTAAATATTCAAATTATTAATTATTAGTTTAATCCAAACGCATTTTTATAAATTTATAAAAATAATTTTTTTTTTATTGAGTTTAGGAAATTAACTTTAGTAAACATTTATTTAAAAAAAATTAACAAAATATATTAATCAGTTAGTATTATATAAAGATCAACAAGTGTATTCAATCAGGATAATTCAGGTATAGTAAATAATTAGTAAAAATATATATCTAATAGAACTATAAATAAGAAATAAAATGAAAATTAATACTATATTACATATTTTTCAAATATATAAAAGGATGGCATATCAATGTTCTACATAGTAGACAAATTACTACTTTGTCTTAAGACTTTTTGATGAAATTCCTCATTCTTCTTTAGAGATTTATTTAATAACTACATATAAAACTTTTTGGAGTATAATTAGTATTCTTCCTCTACAATTAATTAATATAATTTTATTAAATCTTTGCTTTATAAACATTATTGTACTTAATTAAGTTTATCCTGAAATTTTTTTGTTATTTTTCAATTTAATATTTCAGTATATAATCTAATATACTTAAGGGTAAAGTGAATTATTTGAATAATTATAGCTAAACAATACTTCATTTTTTATATTTTAATAATTTAATAAACCACATTTTACAGCACATAAGATGCAATTAAAAACTAAAAAAGAATGACCTGCATCTTATATGTGAAGTTGCAATCTCTTTATAGGCTAATGAATTCTCCAAACAGCCTTCAATAGGCAACAAGTAACCTCTACCTAACCCAAGTCTTGAATACAAATGTTATTGTTTAATTAAACATATAATAATCAATCAATATATATTATAAAGGTAAGTGTACAATGTGCGTGCCGCTAAAACTCCTGGTACGATCAAGGGAGTTATATGGTGTGGTAGCCCTCTATCCCCCATCCAAGAAGATTCCTGTTTTTACCTGAAGGGCGTGCTGTTGAAGATATAAGGGCTGGAAGTTTTGCCCTCTAGAAATTTCTAGAACAGTCGAGAGCATTCCACAACATTCCAGAATGTTCTGGGATGTTCCCAAACGTTCCAGAACTCTCTCGAATGTTGTGGAATGTTCTGGAACATTGTGGACCATTCGAAGCCTTTTTTGTATGGGTTGGACTACCCATTGGTGGGGATACATGAAGCAAGATCCATCGTGGGTTCAAACGTCAGTTTCTTATTAGTGATGAAGGGAAGAACCGAAAAAGAAGTGAAAATTCCAAAGTAGTGCAGTGAGTGAATAAAAACAAACAGTGAAGTGTGAGTAGTCAAAGCAATACAGTGACTGAATATATAATAGAAGGGTTAGAAGTATGAAATAATCTAATAATCTCAATGTTTAGACTTATTTTTTGCCCGGGCAATGCCGCGCTTATCTGCTAGTAATAAATAATTATTACTATTATACTTTGGTAAATAACATCTTTTAAATGCCTCTTTTTCCCTGATAAATAAAAGTGTGCATTCTAATTTTATATTTTTAAACCAGAATACAGTAAAAACAGAAAAAAAATTTGGTGTTAAATGCCAAAAGCACAGAATAGTTTAAATGCATTAAATAAATTTTGTGCTAAAATGGAGGTGTGTTTTATATGTCGTAAATTAGTAATTTAATCTTAATAATTTAAATCAAGTAAATAAATATTGAATTTGTTTTGGATTATATATTATTTGAAGAATTCTGCTTGTTTATCAACATCAATTTATAATGATTTGGTATCTGTTCTGAATTTATTAAATTATATATAGATTTAATGTATTCAATGATTACTTTAATAGTTTGTTATCAATAGTGTAATTAGAATCAATATTAGGGAGGGTTAAAATTAAAATACAATATAAATTACTATATATGTTGATATTTTTTTTATTATGTATGTAATAAATTAGAAAAATATATACATTTGCAAGTATTTAACTCCTCATTAAAAAAAATTTAAACAAATAAAAATAATTAAAATTTGACAAACTAAAAGAAAAAAGAATCATATAGGAACATTTTTACAATTTATTGTTTAAAAGTAACTCTATTCATCTTTTCTTCTTATTAATAAATATATTAGTCACTTCATTTACATCTACTTGTGTAAGTACTCATCTATGAATATGTACAGTACAACAGCCAAACTATTGTACATATTGTATAATAACCAAACTATTTAATCTCATCTCTGATGTATATCTAACCAGGTTTTAAGTTTATGTAGGCTTGAGAAGTTCCTCTCTGTTTCAGCTGATATTACAGATAGTACAGTAGAGTCCCATAAAACACACAAATAATACAAGCAACACCCTTGAATTTTGTCGATCAGAGGTATATGGTTTTTTCAACTTATAGGCCAAGGTTTAAACTTTCATAAATCATATGATAATGCAGGTTTTGATAATGCAATTTCCTATAATGTGTAACAAATCCTCCACGTTGTATGGGACTCTACTGTACACACAAAAGCTGAAGAATTATTTTTTAATTTAACATATGTTGGTAAAAATTTTCATTGTGATGTAAAAGTACCATTGCCAATGTATTTGGTTTTAATATTTTGTATGACAATTTTCCTTTATATATAAAGAAAAAGGGGTTCTGGTCTCCTGACCTCATCCCTGGTTATACTACTTTTGTTAAAGTCTAAATTTGAAATTAAGTATGGAGAAATATTAGCATTCATTTCTACTCTGAATTCAGCATAGCATTTATTAAATCAATAAAACTGAAAAATATAAATATAACTAACAAGATAGAGCCTAGATTGCTTTTGGTAGAAAGAATAAGTTGAATAGTAAGTTCTAAAGTAAGTTAATAGTACTGAAGACAGCTTTATGTAGAGACATTAAAGAATAAGAATCTTTTTTCTATTAATTTTTGAAGTTTCTCAAAACAAAAAAGAAAGTAATATTAATACAAAAAGTACTTACATATTAAAATTTATTAACGTATGGATAAATAATAATAATTGTTCAATATGGAAATAAAATTCAGAGTATGCTTCTGATCACATCTTTATCTGATATTAAATTCTCATTTTTGGAATACGTAGATTTCAAGTGAAAGATGTTTCATATTTATAACATTGATTATTTTATGATATTAACTACTATACATCAAAGGATGTTGTCAGCACATTAACTTTTTACAATAAGAATAACTTGATTTGATCAGATATTTTAATGATATATTTTTATAAGTTTATAAACTTTGTATTATTTTTTATTGTTGTTTATTGCTTACAGATCAACTAGTTTATATAATTCATCATATTCTATAACTTATGATTGCAATTATAAATTATTATCTACTTATAATTGCAATATCTAAAACAAAATTTTTTATTACAGGTGGAAGGTCAAAAATATTTCTGTTTTTGACTCTAAAAATTTAGAATTTATATGATAATTCTCTGAAATCTGTAAAAACTGCAAGACATATTGTTTCAAGATTAACTGTAGTTCAATGATTTCATTACAGAGAATGATGTCTATGATGTATTTATTAATGTTTTCTTACAGAATAATTCATTGAAAATAGAATTATCAATATTATGATTGCTATATAACAATGCAAAATTAATAAAAAATACAATACATAGTATACAAAAATCAGAATCCTTGTTAAATGTATAAACTTGATCTATTGTCCCATATATAAAATTTATCTAAATGTATTCTGTTTACTTATGAATGATAATAGAATTCAGTTTTAAAACTGTATTGACTCCTAATTATAAATTTTATACTGTTTTCTGGATATATTTCTATTTAAAAACAAACACTTAATTTAACATAAATTTGTTATACTGTTTCCAAATAACAAACATTGAACTTACAATGTACAGTACATCCAGTTCATCTTATTTTGCAATATTTTGTTTTATAACATGTTTAAAGTTATTTTAACTTATCTTTCTAAAAATGTGTGAAAAAATGTTACAAGAATGTAATCTGTAGTCTATGGAAAAATTGCAGACTATAGAATTACACTTTTATAGTAATGAAAATAATCAATCATTTTTTTCAACAGTTTCTATTTGTAAGTCCAAGGCTATCTATGTTTGAGACAATTATCGTTTCAGACTATGCTTTGAAAGGAAAAATTTTAACAACAACAATTAATAAAATAATTACTTGAATTATGAAAATTACATCTATGTTATTTATATGATTATTATTAGATTCAGCTTTATCAATTCAATACATCAAAGAAATTAAATTAAATGACACACTTCAACAGTTTCATTAAACATGAATATAATGTAGGACAAACTTTTTTTAAAATTTTTTAGGTCCTTATAACTTTTATCTTAAGGTTCTATTCAATTAAATTTTTGTAATCTAGTATTATTTAGATTTTTTGTAATATAAACTTAAATGATATTTTAAAATTAGGATCATGATGATTAAAAGATATCTTACAAATTTATTACTTTAGTATTTTATTATGCATGATACTTTTATTATATGTTTGTTTTCTATAATCAAAGAACATTGTTTTTTATATCAATTCAGTAAACCTTTAGAATAAATTTAATGACAGTCAAAAGAATTTAATGATTCTTTATTTTTTAAAAATTTGGTTATGAAACATGGTAATCAACAACAGTTTTATATAAATATGAAAGTTTTAATCCATTTTTTTCAAAAAATATGATTACAAATTGTATGACATTAAACAGTGAAATTTTCAATTCATATTAATAATATAAATATCAAAGCATAAATATTTGAATGCATCATGATTTAAAGAAAACACACAATAAAACAGTGAATTATATTTTTATAGATTTAAAAGTTATTAAAAATTTTTAAATTGATCCTTTTTTTGCTTTACAATTTATTTGTACTTTATATATAAACATAAATTTATGTAAAATCTTTAATGTTTTAAAATGCAGATTTTATTATTTGGCACTTCGTATATTATGTCATTTCAATTTTATGCTTTAAAATGATGCATAATTTCTGCATTTTTAGAAAAATTAATAGGCAATTTAAAACCTGCTGTTTTAGCACCAATATAGGCAGAACCTACAGCTGTAGACTGAACTGATCTCAACAGTGTATACTCTTGTAATTTACAATTTACTTTTGAACAAAATCCTATAAATAGATAAAATTAATTTAATCTTAAAAGATAGTGTTTAAATATCAAAGTTTGATATACTAACCATCTTTCAAAAGGTTCCAACTTTTAAAGACAGAACCTACACAAATAATTGGCAGTCCTCCTTCCTGATGCAATAATTTCTTAAAAATAAAAAATATACAATTGCATAAAAACAGTAGTAAACATTTAATATCAATAACTTATAACTTGACCATATTTTTATATAATGTTAAAATTAATATCATTTGTAAATAATTAATTCTTTTAGAATTCCTAGGATTCATTTTTCATTTTGCCAAAATGAAAAATGAACAAAAGTTACTAAAATTATTTTTTAAAATATTACCAAATTCATTGTTATGGTCTAAATTTACTTAGGTATCTATTGTTTTATCAAAACGATGGTAATTGTCTAATATCAAATCAAGAAATAACTCTACATATATAATGTTACTGGAAAATTTTAACTGGAATATAGTCATAAAATTTATAAATTGTTTTTTTCAAGATGTTAATAAAATCAATCAATTTTTATAATAAATTTGAATAATTTCAATTCTTCTAAAGAAAAATGAATTTTAAATTTAAACTACACATTTCAGTCATGTCATATTGAATTTTATAGCATTGATTTTTATGGAAATTTGATTCAAATTAATCTGCTATCTATCAGATTATTAATAGCAGTGGATATGAAATATTCTTCTAAACGATCAGCTTACTCATATTGTTATAATTAGTAAATAAGGCAAACTGTAAATAAATGGCAAACTGTAAATAAATGGGCCAACATGGCAAACTGTAAATAAATGGGCCAACATGGCAAACTGTAAATAAATGGGCCAACATGGGCCTCCATTTGTGATCTCTTGGTTTTGGGTCTTAAGGTAAAAAAACAAAAAAAATTCAACTTCACATTTAACTTTGACTTCCCTATTTTTCTCAACCAGCTTACTTTTTACCTGAGCAGATACTGCTAAGTTGCTTGACTTGTTTGACCTCAGAAATGTCTTAGTGCAATCAAAACATATATTACAATTTTATTTTATAAGCTAGGTTAAAAGTGTCAATAGTGAAGTTGTCCATTAGGTTTCTTCTATCAATCCTTGAAATTTTAATTTCAATTATGTTATTTTATAAATTTTTATAAACACAAGAAATTATTGTGAACCAAAATCAATTTTTTAAATTGTTTATTACTTCATACATATTAAATCTATCTTAGCTACTGAAAATCATCCATTGTTCCAAGAATCTATTATATCGCAAACAACAGATTTCATGCACATATGGGAAAATATCTGTTATTTGAAAAATTTCTGTTTTTTAACCCCTTACATATAAGAAATATCTGTATTTGAAATTATTCAGTCTCTTGAGATCTCTATCCTTTATTCTATAGAACACACATACATTAAAAGATCATACATTATGCCATAGCCTATTTGTATATGATAAAACTGATGGAAGCTGTATAGCACAAAAAGAGGCAAAGTATAGTAAGTATACTCATTAACACTTCACTTGACAATTTGTTAAAAAATGCATCCATTTTGGTTTATTTTCATGCTACTTTACTACCCATTGAGTACAACCACCAAAAGTAGCTTCCTACTATTAATGAATGTGCTACAGGAGAAAGCTGACACAGTTGCAAAGTTAGCTATGTAAGCCATGCAATATATTTTTTTAAAATTCAGTACCCCAAAACCCCAAATATCAATTAAATATTAAAAAGAGTGATGTTTACAGTAGTTGGGACTAGAAAAAAAATCCATTATTATCAGTTACAGATCTGCTAAAAGGAAGTAAAATTACATTGATTTGGCAGAACCTGTGGAAAAAATCTATTATTCCACAATCCATTAAAACAAGGTTCTATTGTATTATATTTTGACTGGAATCTTGGTCAGTATCAATTAAACTCAAATAATTACAATATATCAAATAAATATTATGATGTAATATGAAATTTAATTTAGAATTTTAAGTTTTAATTGTAATTAAATTATTGTAACAAATGTAAACTGAGGCCTCATTCTTTTACTAGGTCTCTAGGGCCATGTGATTCTTTAGATGGGACTACTATAACCAAAAAGAAATTTTTAATATGTTTTATCAGCATGAACTATTCTGAACATGAGGAATGGACATAGTAGAATAGACATCTACTGACCAAACTAGCCATAAAAAAATTAGAAGTCTATTGAATCTGTACAATAATTTCTCACGATGGCAATCAATCATCCAACAATTTATCAGCTATAAATAATAAGCTGGATAGAATGATGCATTTTAAATAAAGTATCATTTATGTATATCTTAAATACTGCTATAAAAAATTTAAAAGGTTGATCAAAACCTGTTTAAAATACTTGAGTTGTCAGTTTAATTAATAAGAAAATTATTTTGAAAAGAAATTTTTTGATAGCTTATTATTAAAACCATATATTCAAGAATATCACTAATCAAAAACTAATTTAGTTACTACAGTGTAATATCATGTAGATAATTCTGGTTGCACATTATCATGTAGAAAATTATTAAAATGGAAATAAAATCTTTGCATAACTTGCACCATCTTATATCACCAGATCAAATGCTTACTAGTATGAAGTTTAGAAGGAAGCATCTCAAATATTAAATCATTATTTTTCCTGTTTCATTCCATTAGCAGTTTATTGATTCAATTATAAAATAAATGAAATGGAAAAACAGAATACTGAGACCAAACCTTATAATTTCATAATAATATAAAATACAAATGGCTATGGAATGACAAAAATTTTAATCCTAAGTTTCCATTTTTGTTTTATCAAATTATATCAATAAAATTGCTTAGCTCTTATTCATTATAGAAGAACTGTACCTCATTCAACAAAATATGACCTTCTTTAAATGGTAGAGAGCTGATAGATTATAATAGTCAGACTATCCAATAGGATGCTAAAGTTCTCTTTCATTAATCTAATTATTGTTTAGAAAACATTATAAAAAAACTTTATTTTAACTACAACCAAATGTTTTGCATGGATTCTTATTAAAATATAATTTTGATTTAACATGATCTAGAAAAAAAATTTCAACTCTCCACTTACACAATTTAGTTTGATCTAAAAATTTTTATGTATATGTATATTTTAATAATTATAATTATTAAAAATATTTTAATTAGAGATGAAAACTTTTATGCATTAATATACGAATTAATGAATTTTTAAATTATAATGTAAATATTTAAAATTAATAAATATAAATTGTCAAAAAAATGAGTAAATAGCAACCATTGTCTAATAATTGTAATATTTTTCTTGTGCTAAAGTCTGAATAAAATATCTTTATTATTTTTGTTTTAATTTTTAAAAATAAAAAATGAAACAAATTGTTTAACAAAAATTTTATTTTCCAATTTTTATTCAATGTTAAACACTATATCTTAATGTTCAGATTTGTATAATATTAAGTATTACAATGTCTGAGTTTAAAGTTTTGTAAAATTCAATATTTTAAATTTGAAAGCTGCATTCCTTCAAAAATAATGCATTGCCTCTTTAATATTTGAAAACAATGTTTGTAAAGAATATGGAAGTTATCATCAAAATTTTTCTTATATTAAATAATAGTTTAACTTCTATAAAGCCAGAACATGCCTTGTTTACATAAAGTGTTACATAGTTTATGTAATAATATATTACATTAATTAATTATTGAAAAAAATTATAAAATATATATTCATAATTCAATAATTTCTGAGTGGAAATATTATATTTAAAAAAATAGTTGGAATATAATACATTTTTTGAAAATATTTCTTGTATCAAGGATTTTATGCTGTTATTTTGAAAAATTCTTGAGTATAATATTTCTAGTTTAAATAAAATTGTCATGAATAAGATTTTAAACAAAACTTACCTGGTGAATCTTTGGAATTAAAGCTACTACATGATTACCTAACATTACACCAGCTTCATAAAATATATGTTTACATAAAGGATCATCATTATTTACTGCAGCTAAAAAAATATCTTATTTAATATTATTTTAAAAATTTAATTTATAAATTCATAATAAAATATTAAAGTTTTGTTATACCATCAGCTAATTTTTTACATAATCCAGCAAACTGACTTTTATTGAAATTAATATAACAATGTTCTAAAATTCCAAATTTATTCTTTGCCTGAAAATATTAAAAAATTAGAACAATGAGTGAATAGTAAGTACAATACAATTAAATATTTATTTTTAAAACTAATAGAACCATGTAGAAAATAATCAAATAAAAATAATAAAATAAAATACAATTTAAAGAAATTATTAAGATTATATTAAAAATACTGTATAAGTTAATTATTATTGAAATAAAACTAATTTATTAAACAAATAATCTTAAAAAATTTTAATTAATTTATGTACAGTACAAATCAATCAGAGTAATTATATTCTATTATTGATTTTTCTTCTTTCTACAAAATTCAATACAGACAAAAGAAAAACTGATATGAAAATTTTCACATTGCAACCAATTTAAAAGAAATGTATGATTTTCTATCATAAAATTCTCTCTTTCAAACATGAAAGTAGAGAAATGTATATTAAAAAGTAGGAATTCTTTGGCTTATTTTTATTCTTTCACTAAATTGAAATATTTACAGCATTTGTTTTTATAATCAACTTTACAGTAAATTTTCAAAATAATTAATAATAATTAAAAATTTCAATATATTTTTGCAAAATTAATTTTAAAAAATTTATTTATTAAACATCCTATTATTAGTTACAGAAGAAAATATTTTCATCATTCATTAACTGTATTCACAATTCAATACTAGTATAATATTAATTCTACAATAATTTAAAATTATGTTATTAAAAATTTCTGATACAAATTAAAAAGTGTATGTTACTGTCACTTTTAACATGCATAATGCATATTTCAGGCATTTTAACATGCACTTAGCAGTGCATATATCTGGCATTTTTAAATGCATATATATGTGAATATATTGTGATTTTAAACACACAAATCCATCTGTTAAATTATATAATTATCAAATACTTGTTTATTAACAAATTCATTTATTATTGTTTGTAATTTATATATTTTATAAATGTATTTAATACATTTTATCAATATTTGAAGAAAACCATTTTTCAAAAATCTGAGATGAATATTTTTTCTCATTACAAAACCAGAAAATTCAAAATTTTGTTAATAAATATCTAAATGTTGCTATTATTATGAAAACTTCAAATTTTACTCTGCTTTAGATATTTTTCCAAAATGTAAATATTTATTTAATGTTTAATGTGTTATAATAAAAGAGATACTTACATTAAAATGTTCTAAAATCAACCTATTAACACACTGGGTATCATGTAGTGGAGAAATAAAATTATCTTCAGTATCAAGGACCATCTTAACTGCTTTTAAAGAGATCCATATAGCTAATATAAAATATTTTGAATTAATTCTTCCCATAAATTTTAACATTTATTTCCTTTTAAGTAAGGAAATTATAAATCTTGTAAAAAGTTTTTAAATGTCTTCAATAAGTATATGTAAAGCAAATATATTTTACACACACACACGTTTTCAGTTAATCATCATCAGTTAACCAAACATTATACAGTACTCTGTAAAACAATATGCAGGTTTTTAAATTATTTACTTATACAGTAGTTGTATTTAATTTTATTATTATTATTTTCTGGTTGACATAATATTTAATTATATTTTAAAATTATATGATATAAATATATATTGCAAAAAATACAGAAATTTATATCAGTTATAGTTTATTTCTATATAGACTAAATCTGTGGCCTGCAGAATGCATATGGCCCTGAAAGCTTTGGCAATGAAATTTATTTTCTACTTTCTATCTCATGCCATTATGAAACCTTAATTAAGCTGATATTCATGATGAAGAACATTTAAACTAAACTTGATCAGTACAAGATGAAAATAAATTCTGCATTACTAGTTTTCATACTATTAGCATATATTATTTTAGTACATAGTGTATTTGGCAGTTTTGGAATATGTGGTACTCAGCAAGGTTAAAGCCTGCAACTCTAAGAAAGAACACACGTGGCTGACCAAAAGCCTACAAAGCTCACTTGCAGCCTGAATCTAGAAAAGATTGCTCATCACTATTTTAAATTAATACTGTATAACAGTGTTTTTCAACCTGTGGGTCGCGACCCCCATGGGGTTCACAAAGCCTTACATGGGGGTCGCGGGTAAAAGAAAAAGACAACTGTTTGTAGGTCCTACACTACAATAAAAAAAACCTACAATTTCAGTGAGAAGGCTGTACCTGTTTATTTTACAGTATAATTGGTTTTTCGATGGATATTTAGGTCTCAACAGAAAGAAAATTAAATACGTAGTTTTTAAAATTACTGATATAGTTTTAATATGGCCTTGGGGGTTGCCAGAATTTTTTAACTTGTAAATGGGTCGCGTATTCAAGAAGGTTGAAAAACACTGCTGTATAACAAACATATATTCACATTGCTGACTTTTAAACATTGTTATTTTGTAAATTATGAAGAATTTGAAATTGTTTAAAATTTGTTTTAAAGAAAAGCTGTTTTCATATATTTTTATATTGTAACTAATAAAATAGTTCAATTTTATTCCATATCATCTCTGCATACAAACTTGTACAGTTGAACCTCGAAAACTCAGCTCTCGATAACCCGGCACTCCGGATAACTCGGCCACACCCTGGCAGGGCAAAAAAATCCTTAGTTAATTAATTTTCATTATAGACAGCTTTATAAAAGTATAAAAGCTCTCATAAAGTATTTTTCTGAGGTCTGTCTTATCAGGTAAATTACTGTACACAGTGTATTCATTAATTTTCATTTTCATGTAGTA